TTTTCCCACCTATCCATGAATATATCTGCTACAACCGGGGATGTTGGTGATTCCATGGCAACTCCCTTAGTTTGTTTATATATATATTTAAATTCTGTGGAAGTCAGGCATAGGTGCACTCCCAGCATTATGTCCTCAAGTGGCACTTTTGTCGTAATTTCGAGTTCTTGGTCAGAAATGAGTTCATTAGAAATTAAGGGACCCATTGATTTCAAACAGTTTTTCTACCGAAAAATACTACTGTAAAACCTACCAAGCTGACTTCATCGATAAAGGATGCTTTCCTTGCTAAATTACTTTTTATTTTCCTCATGAATTAGTGGATATTTCCGATCCTTCAAAGGAATAAAACATTCATGAAAATTTTTCAGATGTTGAAGTTACTGACAAGTCAGCTGAAGACTGCACCATCATCACTGGATCTATTTTGAAAGTGAATAAACTTTATTCTAAGGTGAAACTGATGAAACTCATATGTCACATTGTTGATTCACCACCAGAATTTTTGAAACGTCAAATTAACAGCGTCTGTAAGATAATGGTTCACCGGTGGTTCTATGGTAGTATGCTCGCACACCAGCCATGCAGGAGGTCAGATTTCAATTTCCAGTCTATTCAGTCTTAAACTATACCCAGCTTCCTAGCCAATAGTAATCCTGGGAAAGAGGTTAGGATTAAGCTGACAACCCCGACCACCCCCTAAATGCAACACCACCACTAGTGAACCTTCAAAATCCTGAAGTTTTTTGTTCAAGAATTGAAAAAATGACAGATTATGAGCACTCCTGATCACACGACCATTGTCATTCAAAAAACCAAACTCATAGAATACAAAAAGCTCTTGAGAAATCAGGAAACGATACCAGTATAACTTAATAAAGGTGTGGACTGCGTTGTGATAAATCGTTATAATTACTTCAGTAGGATTCCGATCATTTCTTTAATAAAATCGAGAGGAAGTGCAAAGAAATCGACAGACGTGGTTTAAAAACTGAAGACTGACTCTTCCTTACATAGATTCTGAAAAGCTTCGATTTATCCTACTAAACGAATCGGACAAGAGTTCAACTGTCTATTCTTTTCTTGAAGCACCAACTTCACATAATCGTCCCACAAACCCAAATGTTTTGTCATAAAAGATGCTATCATCAACGCATTTATATAACTTGGATTTCTACGTGTTAACATCGATTACATAACCACTGGGAGTCTGGAAATACCGGACATGTGTTTCGTGCAAACTTGAGACTCTTCAACGACACCCTTCCACAACCCCACTGCTTGGAATTCAATGCAGGACTTTATCGATACAATGCAAGCCCGTCAGTTATCTTGCTTCTAGGATGGAATCGAATTGCTTATCAATTCCAACATTTTGTCGTTTCGCGTTAGATGACTAACTCTCCTCACCTTTATCCTCTAATCAGACACCAATGAGCATTTACTACGTTGAATTACGTCAATGAAAAGCTTTTAACTTTTAAACATTGTTATTCCCATAACGTTAACTGTCTAACTGGTTTTATTATTATTGTTATTTGCTTCAATGATTTAAACAGTCTCTTTATTTAAGAAACACACGTCAATATATACACACTCATATATAAGCAGAAGTGTGTGTTATCGAAAGACAAGAAACGTTCTTTATCTCATTGGAGGGCGGTGGGATGATAAATCGACATCTAATGAATACTTTTTTCTAACATTGACTTTCACAGAACGTGAATTCTTGAAAATATCATTGTGTTTCTTATTGACAGGTAAATATTTTATGTTTTTCATTAAAAGCCGTCAGTGAAGAGAAGCACTGTTCTTTAAAAATCCTTCTTTCATTTTATTCCTCACAGGTACAAAGGGAGTCAAGCTTCGTCTTTGGAGTTCCAGTGTTATTATTTCGACAGAATGAGGTTGCTAGCGTTATACGCCCAGCTTTCCCTCTTTTTTTACGCCTCCCACCGGCTAATAAACTAGCCGAGGTTGAACAGTTCGTTTGCTGGCAATCGAACGCTGAACTGCATAAACATTTCAAGTTCAATCATAATTGATAAAGTTTTAATTCTATGTAGAATAGTGTGTTTGGAGATGGGTATTTTGCAGGAGTGCATATTCCACTTGTTTACGTTTTTGTAAATCGGTTCTCTAATATTAAAAAAACATATGACAAACAGACTATTTCAATATACACTTGAAATGTAACCCATCATTGGCTTTTCTCAGTGCATTTACTGTATAATCACCACTGGTGGCTTCAGCGTGTTTTAACTAATGACGTTTAGATGAGTCATTTGGAAATGAGAATAAATTTTACCTAATGCAGATAAATGATTTACCGAACAAAGTTCGGTCAGCATTATGATATCGTGACTGTCACATTGAACAGTAGAAGTGTTTCTGTTTATAATTATTCCTTTGGGTTTCACGTGGAACATTCAGCTTCAGCAGGACATCTCCATTTGATTCTGTTCCCTGCAGTCTTATTTCGTGACCTCCATGACTGTCCATAAGCTGTCAACTCCTCCTCACATGCATTCTTCCATTCGGATTCCACTTTGGGGTCTATCAAGCGATGTCATTCAACGATCTCCTCCACCTCAGATTCTACCTGCATATTTGTTGGGATATAGGTTTTTCAGTGGTTCGTTAAGCTGTGGAGTTCCTTGTTGTTTATCCTGTCTGACTGTCTATTTGATCTTCAGTATGCAGGGAAGACATCTGTTGAGAAATGTCTGCTGCCTGTTAGAAGTGCCGGAAGCACTAACTAACTCGACATTAGTGTTGAAAATAAGAATCCACTTCCGTAAACTGAATGCAGTGAATTTTCACACTGGTGTCAGATACGTAAAGGTTTATGCTGCTTCCCCGAAATAGAATGACTTGGAAATGCTTATCTGTGCCACCACCAGCAGTTAAACCATTGTTGCCCAGGTACTCTTTTTTATATCATCTGAAATTTGTTTTTGGCACATCTGCGTGCACTGACGTTTGAGTTCTTATACAGTTCAATGCTAGGGGTTATATTCTATCAAATTTCACTCGGGACATGCAATGAAGATTACGTCTAGACAACCATGACAAGCTTTCTGAGGTAAACTACAACAGAGGAAGGTAATTGTGCAAGCAAATATTGGAAATAAAGAAATTCACTGATTTAAAACTTGTATGATGGTTGTTGATGATTCAAAGACAACTAAGTATTATTTGTCGGAAGGCACTCAATAAATTCGTGCATCATTGGTTCAGTGGTAAAATATCCACCCACCATGCACATGGTCCGAGTTCGACTCTCCCCTGGCGAAGTCTCAAATCTCACCAAGACGGTAATAAATCAAGTAAAGCGGTAAGGTTGGACGTGAGACTGACAGCACAACCCCGACTGAAACTTTTTATCACAAACTTAAACCCCAATGCTTCACTTAGAACTCAAAGAACTCACAAATTTCAGGTGTGCATTTCTAAATGTGTGAAAAACAAACAATCTTGTGCCAATTTTCATAAAATGTCGAAATATTTGATTGTTTAGCACATCAGCTTAAAATTATTCACTCTAGAATCGGAAAACGGATCCAAAAATTTCCCTTCTTGATGGGAGACTGACAAGACGACCCAACGGAACCTTAAGAAGGTCAGTCCATAAGAATCCCACTTTGAAGGGTCATCCAACTCGTTTCTAGATTTGGGTGCCTATTGAATGAAAACGAAATGTAATTAAATCCCGTGTCACTCGAATCCGACACATCTGCAGCTGTAACGCCTTAGAAGCAGAAGTGAGTCTTCTGAAATAAGCCCTCATCCTAAATGGATACCCACCAAGATTCATCGACAAGAATATCCCGTCAAAAGTATACGGAAACGAAACATTACTTGCTCCAAAAGAGAAACTTTACGTGAACCTGGATTTCAAGGGATACTGAGCTTTGCATATTCCTAAGAGGAGAATTTCAGCATTTTTGAGAAGAACATTCTTCGTGGAAACGCTAAGAGTAATGTTCTCCAGTCGTCCATTGGTGTGCAGAAGCATGGACAATAAGATCTCCCATCTGACCACTTCAGTGTACAATTATCAGTCCACCTGTTCTTGTGAATCTAGATATATTGGTCGTTTGATGAATAGACTTTCTAAAACGTTCCAAGAATAATACATTTCATGGTTGCAGAAACGTAGTAGTGGATCTAAAAGGAATGGGATAATCGAGTACTTTGTCAACATTGGTCATCCCATCTCAACAAACGCCTCCTTCTAAGTTATCCACAAAATGAAGAATAACCTATCAGAGACAAGACACTTAGGTCTCCTTCGTATTTCTGAAGCTTTAGCCATTCAGCTCGAAGGACCAGAGTTATGCATAAATGAGAAAACTACCCAACCACCCCCAACTATCATGGCAACAATCATGTTGACTTTTAGTGAATTGTTTTTTCTAACTACTCATAACTCTTGTATTTCTCTATAACTCTTACGTAATTCCATTTCTTCCTTCATTTATTCTCTGTGCATCTTGATCACAAGCCAGTCATTAAATTATTCATCTTATTACGTAACTGAACTTTCTTTTTTATGCATTGACAACTCATCACGCCTACCGACCTACTAATATTCAACCACCCTATCCTTGATACAATTCGATGATTGTTCATCACATTTTGTCTTGAAGTATTTTGATGACGTAACCAGTAACCTAAACAAGCTTTCATTGTTGTCTCAAAAATCTAATGCATACACATACGCTAAGTGTTTTGTTTTCATCTTAATTATTGTCCAGGAAGGGGATTATTCATGAATTGAAATTATTCAACCATAGGTATAATAAATAGAAATAAGTAGTTGCTTCTTCATTTGTTCATACAGTCTATAGTGTGAGGAATCTCCTATCTGTTGTACATTGTCTTACGTCATGAATGGATAGTTTCTTCTCTTTCTCCAAATTTTTAGGATGGCAACACAATTTTAAAAAATAATTGCTTCATTGGATAACGGGTTTTTTTATTTTGAAAAGGCATCTTCAGCATTTCTGATGTTGACATTGTAATAATGTGAGTATATCTACAAGAACATTTGCATCATCTTTAAGATTTTCTAATTCCCAATTCATTTTCAAAGCAATATTACGCCAGTAATCAACTTCAGAGGTTGCACGACAGCTTCCGTCAGTATCCATTGAGTTGAGGAGGCCTCTTCTAAACAGAAAGAAGAAACAACATGACGATGATTGACATTTTTATAAGTGAAATACTACAGTCATCAATTTAGTGTTTATTAAAACATTCTATGAATATTGAGTGTGTTGATGGTCTCGAGGTGGGATGCTTACCAGGTTCGATACCCAGTTGACTCACTCCTAACCCCTCCTAGTGTTCACTAGCCGACAATGAGCACGAGAAAGATGGATAATTCGATGTGAGGTTGGCAACTCCACACCGTAAAAGCGACAGTATCACTTCTGAAACCTCCTGTTTCCCACTCATGAGATATGAAATGAAAAACAAAACGTGTAATAAGTGATGAAATGTTTATCAGTTATAAGAAGGATGAAGTCTCACAAATTCTAGCAATTCTAGCAGTGTTAGCTGAAATATAACTAGTTTGTCAAAAGCATGCATTAGTTTGTGCAAGCCATTAAGAGATTTGTAGATAAGTTAATCGTACTTAAAGTATTGTTTTGGAATAAAGAAGATCGTCATTATTTTTATTACCATGGCTCAAATAGTCAGAATGTAAGAAATCACACTTTTAGTACTCTTTGTAACATTACTTAAATTCATTGATCACGCTAGCGATCAATCCATATCTGGTCATTCTCCACATCCAATAAATGTGCGTCGGTGGCACAGTGGTTAGGACTCTCGCCGACCATGCACATGGTCTGGGGTTCGATCCCGTGCCGGCGCACACCCGATATCTATGGTTGGCCTGCAAAATTTGGGCTACCGATATCCATGCTGAAAATTCCACACTTGTACTGAAAATACGGTGTGGAATCAAGCTGTAAATCAAAATAAAAATAAATAAATAAATTATTATTCTCTTTGGTGTAGGCGAGTGAATTTGCCGTGAAACCAATTTCTTTTGTGTCTCCATACTTTGTGCTCTATGACGGTCAACCAAGCAGTCAAGAGAGAGAACCTGGAGGGAACACGTAACTAAGTCAGTTCAGAGTTTAATATGACTTGTTCCTTGTATTCGGGATGGAATATGGAATTCCATCAGAGTATCTCCATCCCACCCTGTTAGCTCTTTCGACAGATACCTGGACTACCCTCAGACTTTAAATTCCCCCCAGGATGACCTTTCCTATATCACCCTAGAATGCCCAACCTGTCGCTTTCCATACTGATTTCACTCAATGACCTGCCTGGAGGAAGAAACCATTCAGTGGTCCCCTCGTTGTGCTTCCAATCCATCACAATTTCCTTTCGCATATTTCTTCAGGTAATAGGTTGTTAGTTGGTCCGCTGTGCACCATAGTTCCTTGGTAATTACTGTTTCTATCCAGTGATCTCATTTCCATTATCGAGTCACGGGATGTGGTTCTTTGATGAGAGCCTTTAGCAAACTGTTGGAAATGTCTGCCAAATTTCTGAAGCATACAGAAGCGCTTAGTTGACATCAATGTTTACAATTCGGAGACTGTTTCTTACGCCAAGTTGGTGTAGTCTTAAAATGGGTGGAATCAGTGCTTGAGATGCATAGTGAAGGCACTCTCGTATAGCGTTGAATTAGTTTCCTCCTCTGCTCTAATTATACAAATCCATAAATTAATAACAAGAAAATGAAGCTGCTTTTGCACTCTGCGTACTATGCACACATTATGTCTATATATTTAAAACTGTTTAAGATGGAGTGAACAGTATGAAAGATCAATTCGGGTATGAATATCCGTCAGAAACTCTGTACTGTTTGTTTTCGTTTGAAAAGCAGTGATATTGAGGAGAGCAACACATTATTACTCCCTCGAGATCCAAATTGAATTTGAGGCTCAATTTTGTCCTATTGATTGCAGTCTTCAATCATCTGAAACCTCAATTAGCATTAAGATTTCATCTCTCCCCCACACAATCTCCTCCATGTGACCCTCGGACGACCAACTCGTCCTTTCCCAATCATGTTCCACTCGAGGTCCTAACAGGCGTGCGTTATCACTCAATCGTGTCCTGATGTTGAGTTTAATTTATATCCTCAGTTTCCTCTGAATATTTGTTTAGTAGCAAGTTCGTGACTCTTTCGTCTATAGTTCATTGTCGCTTACCACTACTGGCCGGTTATCTAATCTTCAGTATTGACCAAAGACCGCTGTAGATAAACGTCTGCAGTATCCCGTTGAAAATGCTTTTCATGACGCTCTGGCCAAGTTTATGACTCTTAAAGGAATAGTGACTTAACACTGGTATTGTAAATCCACATTCTGTTGTTTACCTTGAGTGCAGCAGATTTCAGAGCTGCAACTTGGTTGGTAAATTCACACTAGCAACCTCTTTCAGCTGAGAACATTTCAGTGGCTCATATTCCATACGGCATAACTGTAATGTGAAAGTTGACTATTTATAAAGGTGAATTAATTCGTAATCAAAGTAATAAATGACGATGTCGCGAGCTGACCCCCACAACTTTGATATATGGAGCTTGATTCAAAAGTTCAGAGAGTTGCAGCGTTTAAGCAACTCAGAAATCCCCATTGAGTCATATAAAAGAAACGACGTTCAGCGAAGATTTACTCCTCCTTTCAACGATATCATTCTCAAGTTGTACAATCGCATATATATGGGAAATTGTCTCAGCAACAAAATGGATATTTACAAAGATGTGGCATTAGAGTTGTAAATTTTAGACGACAAATTACGTAATGTAAAGTCTTAATCAGGTAGAAAACAGAATCAAATTAAATAAGTAAATTGATCGACGTAATATAACTGATGGAATTGAGTACAACTCAACTAAAATTAATTGAACGAGAGTCAAGTTTACAACAGTGTTATTAAGGGGTAGAAATTTAATAGTGCCGGATGAGGAAGGAAATAATACAATTAAGGAGCAAAATCACAAAAATTCCCTATTTGGTGTTAGGATACATCGGGTCCATTGTAGATTTAATGACTGAAAAGATTCAACATGTGAATTGTCACTGTTTCTGAGACTTGAAGAGGTTAGTTTCTTACTCTTTCAGCGAGATACCCGTGTATTCTCTAGATAACTTTGAAGTAGTTTTGTAGGTTAGTTTGGTGTCTAGATTCGGTCACGTGCTCCAAGAAAGAGCTGTGGCGGAGGACTGTTTTCTCCTGTATAAAACCATGAGCGTAGGTACTCGATGATACAGTTGTATAGCAAAAATATCTGGCTCCACACAAACAGATGAATGGATAGATGCAGAGTTAAAAGGCCAGTTAACAGTGGTAGATTATCCTTCACATTTATGCGAATGAATGGTTTCGTAGAGAAGATTATTCGAAGTTTTACCACGAAGAAAGTTTTCTACAATGAGCGCGGTATCTGGTTCCTAAGTATATCTGGCGATGAGCCTCTATTGAATTGCAGATTCAGATGGAGAAGTTATTAAGGAGCAGAAAGTGTGAGTGGATTTAGTCGGTTAGGCTTCATGGATTTTGTGATGCTACGTCCTAGGTAGTCATTTTCCAGGAGGTTCCAATTCAGAGTGTTCAGCTCCTCTTCCATAGTATCAGGACAGGCAAGACCGCGGATTCTGTGGATTAGTGAACAATCCAGGTTTTTTCTTATATATAGAGGTACCTAGCTGTGAAAATTAATGATTTGTCCGCTTTCTGTGGATTAATCTATTCGATGTTCCATATTGTTCACATCTTGTTAACTGAAAGTCCAGAAAGGATATTTTTCTGTCAGACTCCCTCTCTAATATGAAACGGATTGCAGGATGACACCATCCGGCGCACTCCATATCCTCGTCTAATGAACAAGACGACAGTAAACCCTGAGAAGAGAAGGGGTATGGCTTATAGCTGGCACATCGACCTCGTGAAAGAAAACAGCACCATCGCTACTACAACTTCAGAAATACTTGAACGAGCTTGTTCCACTCAGAACGCGAAAGGAATGCAGAAGGAATAGACTGTCAGGGATAAATTCCAGCTGAACTCCTTGTAAATAACTAACTGTCCAGCAAAGATAATGAGTAGAAGTAGAAATACGCAGCAGAAGGATATTTCTCAATGAAAAATAGTCATTCTCAGTAATAATAGTAGAAGTGGTACAGATTTTTGGAAGATAAATAATCATGGCTTTTTTTTCAAAAGTTTCAAAACACACTCTAAGGGAATCTGTACATCCTTAGAAGAATATATATATATACATCTATATGCTTGTCTTTCGTTCGCAAATATACCAATTTTATCCTAGCTGACATAAGGTTACATCACATTCATTGTGTTTCACTTTTTTCTCTCCTCCTCTGTATCCTTGCACTGTGACTTCTACTCGGCTTGTCATTTTCGGGCTAATAAAAATTCATAATTCCACTTTCTGACATGCCTACGTCATTCAGAATGTCAAAAATCCTCATCTATAGACTATTTTTGTTATTTATTATGGCTTTAGCTTCACGTTTATCTGTTTATGCGATGTATTCTTCTCCCTAATCAATATTTCAGTGAACTGATTTATTTGTAATTCTGCCAGCCTTGATTATGTCAGTATTTCTGATCAATACACTGCTTGAATGTTATTCTTTAGTTTGTGAATTTGAATTTCCCCAATTGTCTGATTTACGTAGGTTGGCAATACTCTGTCTCCACTGATATGTCGCTCCCAGTAAGCATAATTTGAAGATGTTTGGCGATAAACATGATGTCATCTGGTTGATGGTGACTAGCAGTTCAATCGGGGGAAGAAATATTTCGCCCGGTTGGATTTACCTTCATCCCCATTGAGTAATAATGTTCAGACTGAGACTTCAGACCAGTACACATGACTTCAAATGTCAAAGTGCTATCCACTATACCTGTGGGCGATGACAGCCACATCTTGTGCAACGGATATCAGTTGTTATTCGTTCAACTTCCACGGAATACTCCTATATTGAATCATAAGAAAAAGATGTAAACAGCGAAGAGAATGTTCTTTCCGACGATTCATTTTCATGAGATGTAAGCCGCGTCAGTAGCGGAGCAGTAGAATGTTCGCCAACCATGCCTCATGTGATCAAGGGTTCGATATCCGACCACAGACGTACTCCCATACTTCACTAAGCCAGTAATCAGACTGGTAAAGAGAAAAGGTTGGGCGTGAGACTAGCCCTATGTTCCACTGAGGACATAAAGGAATACTAAAAAGAACTCGCAAGACCGATAAGTTACTGGTAAAATTTGAGCTTGAAAATACGTTACATGATGTAAGATGTAATCTAGAAGCGAATGACTAATTGGAAATTAGGAAAAAGGGCCAGAAGTTGGGATGACTCAGTAAGTGTGAGAAAATGACTAATCAGCATAATTGTGTAGAGTGGACAAAAACTAGGAGAGCGACGACAGAGTGTTTTCATAAAATCTGTATGGAAATGCATTGTTACCAGTAATAGAGTGATAGTAAAATAAGGATGATGTGAATACTAGTAATAATAGGAACCTTGTGTTATAAAATAAAGAGAATCTATAGTGAGAACGTTACTCTGGCCACTGTGAGGCAAGTGAATGAATGTAGTGCTTTTGAACACAAAGGTCCGGTTTGAGATTCCAAATAGGCAATGATTCATATATGTGCAGTTGGCGTATTCCAAGTCTTTTCATGAGATATTGAGGAACACTGTGTAGCACTATGAAGCGCTGATGCAGGGATTGTCAATGTCCAGAGTTGACAAGGTGTTTGAGGGTAGAGCTGCTACTCTTCCTCCTTTCTTCTCTGGCTAACCAAGCTGGATAATGTTTCAGAATACGTTTATGCACTTGACGTTGCGTACGGCCAATATACATTGCTGCACACAGATAAATACACACTGAGTTCGCCAAATGCGGTAACTCATCCTTAAAGTTAGACTGGACTAACTGCCTGTTGCAGAATGCGATACGTAAGGTGGCCACTTAAAATGTCTTTCTCAGACATTTAGAAAGGCGGTTCCTAAGAATTTCTGCTTTTATGTCACGTTTGAATTCCAGGTTCATGAAGAGAGTTTACTTAGGTGTAGGTGTGATTTTTGGTGACGGAGGCTTTCTCTTCTGGTTTATGTCGATAAATTTCAATGAATATCCGTTCTCCAGAAACGTTTCACGTGATGAATTGAATTCATCGTTTATCGTGTCTTCCGAACAGATTTTTTTAATCCTTGACAATGATTTTCATGCTAGAATTTGCTTTAGGATCAGTGGGACGAGGCTCTGGACGTTGATAAAGCGTCTAGTTCACGTTGGTTTGCGATATATTGATCTCTGGATGGTGCAGTCTTGTCTTTTCGTAATTAGTACATCCCAGAAAACATGATTTTGTCTGTTGTTATTTGTCACACTTCATGGAACTGTGATGATTGTCAGTAGGGTGAGTGACAGCTATCCCATTGGGCCATATCACTGACATTGTCATTAATGGGCACTTGATTTCATGCAACAAATTCGCTAGAGGAATTTTTTCAGACTCTGAGCACCGACTTTACCCGCAGCTCCAACCTTGTGTCTCCTCAGGTAAAACAAGAAGTCTTTTCAGAAGACTATATATACTTATGTCTAAGTATAAAAATTCCACTATACCATATTTAGCACGTATTGTATGTGATAAAAATAATTTTAGGCATGAACTAACTTCTTGTCCATCCAGACATTCAGGGAATTCAACTACACCTACGACGAATGAGAAGGAATAAAGAAAATCACAAAACGAAAGTTTTTGAAGTTGTGTGGTTATGACTGATGTGTTTGTAACGTTATCCATTAAATAAAACTGCTTCCTTTTGAGAGTGATACATCTAATAAACAAATCAATATGGAAAGTGGTAAGACTCTATATTGGACTTACTGTATTTCATAATCACCTTCATTTGTTTGTAATGTAGACAAAAGTCCAGTATTTGTATAGTAATAATGATCACTACTGACGGGGTATTTGCTTTGAGGGATGAATTGTTGTTTCAGTCGATTTAACTCATTTTGTTTAGTGACGATAGTTTCAAGTTGCTGTTTAATTTGCATCTAGAAATAAAGAAACTGATAGATCAATAAAAGTCGATGTAATGTCATGCTGAATGAATCAGTCAATATAAGCAGCTCCCCTTGAAGATGATAAAAGATGATGAAAGCGCTTAGCTTCTTCCTTGTCTTACATGCCAGCACAACATGAATCATACATTTATTCCGCCCCCCCCCCCCCATGAATTTGAATAGAGCAAGAATAACTGTGTTTGCAGAATATTATGGTACCATTTGTTGCCTTCTCATCATTGACGTAGTACAAAATCTGATTTTGATTCAACAGAATCTCACCACTAGTTTGGATATATTAGGTCAGACCAAATACATCAATTTCATTCAAAAGCTTCAACAGAAAACATGCGCAAATTTTTATAAGACGCTGTCGAAATCCTTGACAAAGAAGAAACTGTATGACTTCTTCCCAGAAAATCCTGATGAGGTTGTCCGTAATCTGTCGAGTCTGAATTTAAGCCGCATTGAAATGGAAGCGCTTTCCCTCGGATCTAACTTTCATACCTCGAATAACTTTGTCAAAAGAACTGATGTCGCAGCTCAGTTCGAAAACTTATACGATCAGCTGAATGACAATAATCCAGTTGATGAGAACAAGAAGACCTGGTTCAAATCTAAGCTGGTCAGTGTTGCAAATCAGTACATCATTTCACCAACGCCATATTCCAAAATCCTTTCTGAGGAGCTTCAAAGAGCACTGGGAGCTCTTAAAAATAATCGTCTTAAAACCATCATACTGCGACCTGGCAAATGATCAAGAGTGATGCTGACGGACAAAGATGACTACATCGCAAAGGTGAAAAATGTGTTAAATGACCTGTTGAGGTTTAAAGTTGACGATTACCAGAAAGATAAGACAGATACAGGTAATGGATCGATATCCTAACATCGATGCTATTGGTTTGAATGTAGTCACAAAGGAATCACACGGTTTCTGTCAATGGAACGTTGGTGAAGAGAGAAACGATACCCAAGGAGACCATTCTCTTGTCTACCAAGTTGACATTCTTAATTGAATCAACAAAGTCGAATGTGTCACGGAGGTTGTGTCTTGACAGCTTTTCCTTCACCGGCTCGAGAGTCTGCACCAGCCATTTCGCGATTGACTGATATGGGGAATCTATCATATCTAGTATTGAGTGGAGTGGTACGTCTTGTTTTTGCACTTTTGATAAGCCGTAAATGCTCGGTGTTGTATGTCTATTATAAAAAGTTCAGGATTCTATTTTGATGAGGACGGGACATCACTAAGGAGCCATCATCTCAGCTACTGGGATAAGCTACCATTTAGGACAATGCTTTCTCACATGCTTAACAGACACTTACGAGTCAGCTGGTTGTAAATGTCTTACATACTCACCACAGTAAACAACATTATTAGAGGTCATATTTTCTTAGATTTAAGCAAACTGCACAACAAAAACTATATACACTATACTGATGAAAGTTTTCGATAGCCCAAGTGTTAAAACAGGACACCAAATATTGGGCAAGAAGACCAGATAGTGGCATAAAAAGTAATTCTCATTAAAACAGTACTTGAACCAGTCAATATACACATGGGTGGTAATGTGTTCACCTCATAACCCGAAAGTTCAAGGTTCTATTGCCGGTGGAATCCTGCGTATGTAATGCTGGAGAGTCCTAAACAAGGACGAAGTAGCTGTCCTGTATTCCCTAGTTATCAAACAGTTTTCTAGCTGATGTCAATTCACAATGATACTCACCGCCTCCAAAGCCTCAGGATGGTCGGGGGTGGGTGCCTTGCGCTGCGGGTTGGCCACCCCTGCGCACACCTCTTCAAATGCTTCCATATGACCGGGCGTCTTACATAGCCTCTCCTGAGGAAGTCCTACTCACTGCCTTCACGTGGCGGAGGTGTTTTTCACCAAAGTGAGAGGGCGAAAGCGGATGCCCGGTGCTCCTCACCGGGTTGACTGTCCATTGGATGACAGTCTACGGGAGATGGCTAAACCCTGATTCCAAACCTCCAACGACTGGCGTATGAAGCTCACTGGAGCTCACCGGCAGACGTATGGACAAAGGGCTTGTTGGATGTCCTGGATGTCTGGCCCCATTCAAAGAGGCGTATGAACCAAACTCCGGTCACCGGCTTCCAATGGATAGTGGACTCCCTACTCCACTCCTACTGCCTTGTAGGTCACACTTGGTTGTGTAAAGGCTAGAGCTGCACTCTCAAACAAAAGGCCGAGTGGTTCTGGGGACATCACTCGTACCAAATTCCCATGAAACTTCATGAACTCTCTTACAAACGTGGTACAGTCAAGGCTGATATGGAGTGCCTGGGGCTACAAACCGTCTACGGACTCCGTCTGTGGAACAAGAATTGGAAAACCCTGTCGCAAAACCTTGCATCAGATCGCCGCGCCTGGGCAGCGATGATTCGAGATGTTCATGAAGCCGGCTCATCCTCCCGTAGGAGATAGCCGAAGTAAAGTAAGTAAGTAATCTATTAACTCCCTAAATATCAGCAACTGTAAATGTGTTATGAATTCAAAAAATAGAATTACCTCAAGAGCTTTGACGTATGAATCGTCCACTTTTTTATCGTTAAACGTTGTGAAGTCAGTATTTGTAGATACTTCGCATGTTGACTTGGATTTGAGTGATTTGTAGGCCTCTAATACACTCTCCAATTCCTTAATACGTGTCTGTAAGTTAAACGATTAGAAATCAAACCGTGGTTTTACTATTATTACTAATATTATCATTGCTAATATAAATGAAGGAAATTTGAGAGATAAACTACTTTTTTGTGGTCGTTATGATAACTTTAAAGTACTTTACGCTTAGAACAGACACTGTGTCCAACTCTCGAATGTCTACTTAGTGTTGTCCATGTTATATATATATAAATAATTGTCCCTTGGCTTCCAAGTAGAACAAAGGAATTCAGTGACACATAACAATGTCACTCTGTTCTCCGCGGGTATTTTTAATCTGACTGCACGACTGTCGATAAACTTTCTTCTTGTCTTCACATGAACTCCTCCATCCCACCCTCTGGCACATATCTGAGTCATCGCCTCCTATTCTGGTTCTACTCAACGGCCTGAGTAGCGTATGACGTCATTCAGTAGTGTTCTCAGTTCATGTCTATTTCTGCCTGCATACTTACTGAGTGATAGAATGTTAGTTGGTTCGCTTCGAGAATTCCTTACTGTATGCTAATTCTTGATGATCGGTCCGCCATCTAATCCTCAGTTTTGAGCCAGTGAAGGCAGCTATTGATAAAATTTTGCAGGTCAACTTGGAGACGCATGTTAACGACAAACCTACTGAAGAGAACAAATGCTTTAAATAGTGCCATCGCCAGGCATCTACTTGACACGGGGCATGAAGTGTACATCTCAAGATCACTCAAAATTAGCAATAGGTGAAAGAGTTCAATTCTCCTTATGTCTGCTGAAGCGATCTTCATCAAGCGCCTGCAACCTAATTTATGCGTTCAGAAAGGAGCAGTTATCAGTCTTTTCTTGCCCTGGCGACTTGATATTCTCATACTTTCTCTCTCATCTGATTACGTAATTTCGAAATTTTCAATGTGTATGATCATTATTGTTGCTTGGGAGAAAGTTTTTGTTAATATTATCATATATATTATTATTGTATGCATATATTGACTGATTGTGAAGTGAATGTGAAGTCAGTGCTACTATACGGATCAGAGACTTGCACTGCACGTCATAAAGACCATCCCAAACAAACTACAGACCTTCATTAACAGTTGTCTTCGCTCAATACTCAAGATCAGATGGCCGGCCAGAAAAGATCAGCAACAGAGAGGGATCTCTGGCAATGAGCGAACCAACTCAGCAGGAACCGATTGTGAAACAAATAGGCAGGAAGAAATGGAGATGGATTGACCATACTCTGAGGAAACCATCAAGTGATATCACTAGACAAGCCATTGCTCAAGTGGAACCCGAAATGGAAGTGGCGAGTTGGTCGTCAGTGCAAGGGTGGGTGACTTGGAGGAGGTCATGTGAAGAGGAGATGAAAGCGTGTGGGCAGACTTGGAGCCAGGTGCAGACTCTAGGAGAGAACCGAACTCAATGGAGACGTGTGGCTGAAGCCCTATGTTCCTCTAGGAATAAAGCAAACAATAATATAATAATAATTGACTGACTGATTTCTGTTTAAAAATGAACTCTGTCAAAGTAAGCAGCTGATGAGAAGCCGACGAAATAATCGATGATGGTACCATTTTGCTTAAACCACCGTTGTTGTTCTCGCTTTATTCAAATTCGTTAAGAAGAATAAATGCATGTAACCTAATATTGATTGAAGAGAATTACAAGACAAGTGATGTATATTATAAAACCTGCGCAGTGTTACATTAGGCAGTTACATTAGGCAATGACTTCTGATGACACTATTTCTGCCTTTCAGTAATGTCACTCACTGTTCACAGATATTTAGTTTCATACACAACGAAATTTGGAAATATTAGATTCGATTATATATGTCCAAACCAAGTTGACTTTTAACGGTTTGAAAAAATTTGGGCATTGGGTATATGATATTCATTATAATAAAGGTTTTTGTATTTCCCAATGAATGAAAAACAAAACGATGTTGTTTTTACTGACGTTTCGCTATTTAATGCTAACAGCTTTATCAAAGTATTATTAAACCGGAATTTACAAAATCTCAGCATATATATATAACAAACAGTTAGGGGGTGAGAAAATAGACATAGGTCAAGTTAAAGGGACATATTGAAAGTAAAAATAGCGATGAAGATAACTATACCAAATAACAAAGGTAATAGTATGTCTGTTATGATATCGAAAAAAGAAAGAAAAGTTTACTAACTTGATCATCGTTCGTCTTGTTATCTTTACCAATTCACCAACTTAACAACTAAAAATGCCCCAGACAGACGAACGATGATCAAGTTAGTAAACTTTTCTTTCTTTTTTCGATATCATAACAGACATACTATTACCTTTGTTATTTGGTAT